CTAACGCCAGTCGCCGGTGCCGCGCACCGGAGAGCTGGGGGACAGCGGGTGGCGAGCTCGGGCTCCTGCTTTTTCCCTGGGACTCCGACTCAGCCCATCCCTGGCCCTCCCTTCTCTCACCCGGCATCTCGTCCTGCCTTTGGTCCTGGAGTGATTCCTTCACAACAGCGTTCCCACCCCAACTTCCATCTTTTCAGCCTCCCCATCTTATCTTGAAGATACCGATGGGTGGAGCTTTGACACAACCCCCGGGATTCCCAGCCCCAGAGCTTTCCCCTCTGCCCCATCACGGGCGACTGTAATTTCTGGCCCCTCCTTAACACCTTTAACCACAGGTGCACACACCTGTGGCCTTGGGGGAACATTGCCACTAAAGGAGTTCAAATCTCCCTTAGACTGAAAGAGAATGGGACCCTCATCGCTCTAAACACCCGATAAACCGAGATAAGCTGGGTTGCAGGTTATCTGCAACCCTCAGTAATTTTTAAGTCTCTCCCTTTGCTGAAAGATTTCCACCCCTCACCTCCCTGTCTTGGGGCGGGTGGGGGGCATGGTAAACATCAGAAGACTTCAGAAAATGCAAAACAAGACTCTGCCTCCGGTGGCCTTTCCCTCGGGGAAGTGAGGGAAATGGGAGACTGGACGGGAGGAAGAGTCAGAGCGTCAACTGAGGCACTCCAGAGACTCGGCTTTCGGAAACAGGGGCTGGCCCTGCCCGCAGCTGGGGCAGACTCCACCTGGAGCTGGCTCTAGTGACTCCCATTCACCCCCCCCCCGCTAGCCACAGCTGGGAGTCTAGCGGGGCTGCCTTCTCTGAGCCGGCTGCTGTGGCTGGCATCTCCGGTTTTGTTTGATCACATAATAGGAAAACCAGTTGAAAGAAAATGTATATAATGTCTAAATATTAACGAGATACCTAGTGCCAAAGAGAAAAAAAAAATGTTAATCAAATAGGATGAAGAACGCGGACTTTTCCCTGAGTGAACAAAAGCTCACTGCTGCTCTCAGCTGGACACGCGTTTCCTTCACTGCAGCTTTAGTTCAGATAAAGATTATTCCTTTATAATATATCTTTTATGGTACACTGGAGACCTCTGAAATGCAGAGTCTGGTGTCCTGTAAATCATTCCGTGTAACTAGGGAAGCTTTTTCAAACACCACACAACTGCATTACCGTAATGTCAACGGGAAGGGGCCAACTGGAACAGGGAGAAACTCCTTGCACTTCGAGCCCAGCTCCAGGGTGTTCAGTCAGGAAGCCTGAGATGAAGCAAACACTGCCATGGTGCGTCCTGTCTGTCTTTCAAGGCCCAGGCTTCTGTGGTCCCTGGTATGTGGCCCAGGGTATCCCTGCAATTCCTGCCTAGCACCCAGACTTTTCTATCTACACTCTCAGCAGTCAAACAAACCTGCTCTGTGCCCGGTTATACTCCGCTGTGCTCTGGAATCTGGAAAGGTTTTGATAAAATGATGCTAAAATCTACTCCAGAGGTGACAAACGAAGCGCTGAATGTGGCCAGCACGATGATATTACAAAATTTAAACTGGCCACGATCGTTTAAAATTGGGGGCTTTTTCTAGAGAAAACAAACCCCAAAACCTAGAGAGGAAGTTTTTGTTGAAAGGGCAACAGATCCAGAACTTTGAGCCCTTCCGCCAGAGCTGAGAAGCTGCTGCCCCTTTAGATCGGGCATGTGTGCCTGATTTTCCATGGTGCTTGTCAAGATTGTCCCTACATGTGTATGTCACTTGCCTGGACACTGCTAGTAAGGAAACTTCTCAGCATCCCTTTTGCCTCTGATCCCCAAATACTCACACTTTAATAAGAAACTCTTGAAAGAATGAAGCCCCATTGGTAAAATGTCAGGCTCACAAGTGATAGAGAGGAGGTAGGTTTTTTTGGAGAGAAGCTTGGTAGATTTCACACATAGACAGTTGCCTATTTTTTTTAATCTACTTTTGAGCCAGGCTTTTTCTAGGAGCAAATCCTTGAGAAACCTACAATGAAAAAAGTGGAAGCTACCTACACAGGGAGAACTCCAACGTCATTCGGCCTTTCCCAATATGTCTGGAGACTAGATAGAATATAGTTTTCTGTTTCTCCAACCAACACACATGCTCCCTCTCTGAGTTTATTTATTTATTCATTTTAAATTTTTTATTTTAAAGATGTGGGGTACAATTCAGGGTTAAATACATAAGTGGTCATCGTACAAGCAAAGTGTGGGCCTCCCTTTGGCCCCCACTTCACCTGGTTTGAGATTGGGTATACTTGTTGATGTTATATCCCCCCACATCTCCCCTGCAGTGTCCTACTACTGCCAATCCCTTTCTCATATTATTATGGTAAATGTTCCACTTATGAGTGAGTACATGTAGAACTCAGATCTTTGTTTCCATGATGGATCACTGAGTATTATGGACTCTAAATCCGTCCAAGTTGCTTTTTAAAAAATTTTGATGGCCTTAAGGCGTGCAAATAAATAGTTTTTAGTTACATGGCTGCATTGTATAGTGGCAAAGAAGTCTTGGCTTTAAGTGTACCTATCACTCCTACCTATGCAACGTTGTCGCTGATAGGCGATTTTTCGTCCCTCCACCCATTTCTCCCTCCTCCTTCTGAGTCCCCAACATCCATTTGAGTTTCTATAGGGTTGCTCTAACTGGTCTTGAGGCCTCCAGTGTGCCTCATTTCTATGCAGCCTAGACAACCATAGCAGATCAATGTTTCTGAGGCAATGTTTCTCAGCTCTATTAATGTCGTCCCTGACTCAAGAAACCTTTCTTTCACTGCCTAACTGATAAACTCCAACTTCTTTACCTCAGTACCTAAAGTCTCCTCCCACCTTTCATGAGTCTTCCAGTCCTGCGAATCCAAACGGTACATGTTACCCAAACATACACATTGCATTCTTCTCTTCTACCTCTGCATTATCAGATGATATAGTTCAAGCAAAGCTGTCATTTGCTAGCTAAGTGGTTTTTGGACAGGTCATTTTGCCTCTCTCAGCCTCAGTTTCTGCATATATAAATTATGGATAAGTGTCACCTCAAATTGTTTTTAGAAAGAATTAAATTGAATTAACTAGCATATGCAAAAATACCTGGTTCCCTGCCTGATATGTGGTGGCTACCAATAATTATTTGGATCTAAATATTGGCTCATGCCATGCTCTGCTTCTTTTCCTATTAAAACTTTATTCTTGAAAACTGTGTGTGTGTGTTTACCCTTTCTTCAAAAGCAGCCCAGTGTACCAACTGAAGTTTGCTTTCCTAAGCCACTCAGTTCATAGCATTTATAATGCCAAGTCTGATGCCTTCTAGAGTATCGGTTAATTAATAGATACTAACTCTGGCTAACTTTAGCTTTGGTTTTTAGTTTTTTAAAGAAAATTACTAGAAAGATTTATATTAAGTGAAACAGCTGAAGTGGTTTTTGTTTGGGGGGGGTGTTTTGTTTTGTTTTTGGAATCGAGGTCTCACTCTGTCATCCAGACGGAGTGCAGTGGCACAATCACAGCTCACGCAGCCTCAAACTCCTGGACTCAAGCAATCCTCCCGCCTGGGCCTCCCAAAGTGCTGGGAATACAGGCATGCCCTGAAGGGAATATTTTTACATTAACAAACAATAAGCAAAAGTAGGCTTTGGAAACGACAATTGAGGTTATGATAGTTATTACTGGCATTCACCAAATATTGTCCATTCTCCTTGTGGGTGCCTGATAGGGATATACTTTCTTAGCCCTTGAAAGCCAGAGATGTGACTATGGGATGCTTTTGGCTAATGAAACATGAGCAGAAGTGAGGTTTGTCCCTTCTAGGCAGAAGCTTTGAGAGACAGTGGGAGATTGGCCACAGTATATTTCCCCTGCCTGGCAATTGCAGAAGAAAGGAATTGAGTCTCTCTTAACCTCCATCTGCTCAATCCCGCACATTGAGTAGGGATAATACAGATCCAGCCCCTCATGACAGTTACATA